TTCTTCTCTCCTCATAGCATGACTAAACAATCTAAGTCTATTTTCTGTCATCTTATCCACGATAACGCAACACCTTTACTTCCTCTTATATGCTCGTTCCTCGTCCTATCTTCTCTAGTCACTCCACTCATCCAACTAAGCATTATCATCTCTGCTACACTTATTCTCTGCTCTACTTTCTTATCAACCGCCCAACACTATGAACCATACATCATGGCTGGCCTCACAATTTCATACTGAATTTAAAAACTATAATTAGTATTTATTCATATATTATATTTTAAAATCAAAGAACTACTAATCAGGATATAATTAAAGAAATAAGAGTTCATGTTGCTTTTAAAATATTTCACCAATTTCTCTAAAGGAAACANATAATAATCCACCAATTTCTCTAAATGAAACACTATCTACAGATTTGCATCGAAGCGTTTCTTATGATAGTGATTTTAATCACTGTCAGATATCATCNAGTGATTTTAATCACTGTAAGATATCATCTATACTTGTCCCACCTATGCCTCGCCCACACTGTGCCTCGACCCCACTGTGCTACCGTTTTTTATTATTATCTTTAGTTACACATTATTCTTTAATTTTTAACTATGTAATACTTTTTAAGTTCATCCCTTATGCCTTGGAGGGAAGTCAATTTTGTTTTTTTAAATGGTAACACATATTTTTAATTTAATAAAATGTTTGAGTTTTTAATTTAATAGTAAATGGCATTTGAATTTTTAATATAACTTTATTAGCTTATTAGATATAAACATTTAAAGTTTCAAAATTTTGAGTTAATATACATGTATAATACACATGGGATTGTAAATACAGGTAGCTAATTGGATTTTTATGACATTGCTGTCTCAGTCACGGATTGTTTATTATCAATTATGATTATCAATAGATATACTTTCTGTATTGTCAGTTAGTGTATTTATCAACTCATAACAATGTACCTTACTACAATTGATAATAACAATGCTGTGTACCTGCTAATATCGATGTTATAAAAAAATTTTTACTTTTAAGGCTATAACTTTTTAAAAAATGTATGGATCAATACAATTTTTTCATGAGAAGTAGTATTTATATATATCTTTCATTGGATATACTTTTTTTTTAAATCAGACTATTTCCCTATATATGGGGGGGCTTCAAATATAAAAAATGCATATAGAAAGTAGAACTTTTTCAACTTAACTTTTGAAAGTGTTCCGGAAGGTCTGACACTTTTATATATATCTTAAATTAAAGCTAAGGTAATATACTTTAATTTAAAAAAAAAAATTTAACCTCTGGACTTGTCTTCACGGTGAAAATAGACATCAAAGTTAATAAAAAATTACGATTTTTGTAAAATAATTTTTTTTTTTATTTTTAACTTAATAATGCTATTACTTTTTGAAAAATGTATGGATAAGTAAATTTTTTTTTTTTATAGTTGTTTGATGTCTTTATCTATCATTTAATATATATTTTTTATAAATCTGACTTTCTACAGGGGTAATTTAAAATGACAACTTTTTTACAAAAAATTAACTTTTTCAACTTAACTTTTCAAAATGTTCAGGAAGGTCTTACATTTTTATATATATCTTAAATTAAAGCTAATGTAATGTACTTTATTATGAAAAAAAAACATTTGACCTCTGGACTTGTCTTCATGGTGAAAACGGCTACCGAATGCTATTTTTGTATGAAATTTCTCGATTTTATATTTTACATTTTTTACTTTTAAGGCTATAATTATATTATAACTTTAAAAAAAAAAATGTATGGATCAATACAATTTTTTTATGAGAAATAATATTTTTTAATAATCTCTTTTTCATTTGACATACTTTATCTTAATCAGAATATTAATAAGGAACTAGCAATTTTTTAAGTCGTGAAAATAGCTTTGAAATTTGAATTTACTTAAATTGTCATTTTTTTCAGTTGATAGAAGCGACGAACAGTTGCCGAGTCGGTAAAATTTGTATCTTACGCGCTTTAGGTACAAGGTTTCTTCAACCCGTATATGGCAATTAATTTTTTGCACTTTTTTCTTAATTCTTTTTGAGTCAGAAAAAAATTTTCAACTCATTTGATTTATATCTCATTTAGATTCAATAACTTCAATAAAGATCCCATCACTGTAGTCGCCCATAATTAGATGAAATGTCTTATTCATATTAAAAATATTTTACTATGTTTTAGGTTTTAGCTTCGTTGCAAAGCTGAGAAGGTGTTTTTTTGTGACTAACATTTATTTTCTCTGCTCTCATTTGACCTCCTTTTTTCAACGATATGTCAAATGATTACAAATCGTATTTAGTTGAAGATATTACCCTAAAAAATTGAAAATAAATTCTAATTTATCAATTAAACAGTTACTTATCCCATATTCTCTATACAGGCAATTATAATCATTTATTTCTAATATTTTCAAAGTATTTATTGACGAATCAAGTTTGATATGATAGGTTTCAACTACAAAATTTAATCATTTTACTTTGTAATTTAATAATTTTATTACTCTATTTGTGNCAAAAGTTTGCCAACGGTGAGGCGAAGAACTTAACCAAGCCAAAACAGTGGTAGAATCTGTCCACGCAAAAAGACAATCGACGTTGAGTCGATTAGAGATAGTCTCAACAACGAAACGAAGTAATTTCGCAGCAAGTAATGCTCCACATAATTCCAGTCGAGGAATTGTATACTTTTTTAGTGGCGCTACTTTTGATTTTCCAATAATTAGTTGACAAGAAATACCAGAAGATGTGTGAATTCGAATATATACAGCTGCAGCATATCCTTTTTCAGAACTATCACAAAAAGCATGAAGTTGAACAGAAAGAACTTCATCACGTGTTATTCTTCGGGGAATTTCAATATCTTCAATGCATTTAAGTTCCGTTTGGTAACGTTTCCAAACATTTTGGATTTCTGTGGGCACAGGATCATCCCAATTAGTGCCAGCTGTCCAGAGTAGCTGCATTATGTGTTTTGCTAGGAAGGTTACTGGAGAGAGCAGTCCTAACGGATCAAAAACTCGTGCTATGTCTGACAAAATTGAGCGTTTGGTCAACGTTGTTGATGTACTTTGAGTTATGAATGAAAAATTATCAGTTTTTGGATCCCATCTTAAACCAAGTACTTTTACATCAGACTGTTCGCTTTTATTAAGTAACAGGGAAGGTGACATTGCTCTTGCATTTTCAGAAACAGCTTGAAGAACTTGACTACTATTACTTGCCCATTTTCGCAGTTCAAACTGAGCAAGGGAACACAATTTTATAAGTTGTGTTTGGTAATCTAAAGCGTCTTTTTCTGAATTGGCTCCAGTAATTATGTCATCCACAAACGTGTCATTCAACAGTATTTCAGCTGCCTGTGGATATAACTGGCCATCAACGTTAGCTAACTCACGAATGGTACGCAGTGCTTGAAAAGGAGCTGCGGATGTCCCATATGTGACGGTACACAATCGATATTCACTAATCGGATCATTTTGTGAAAAACGCCAAAATATTCTTAAGTAGTCTCGATCAGTTGGTTGTACTAAAATTTGTCGGTACATCTGTTTTACATCTGTGATGAACAGATACTTCCAAATCCGTGCACGTAATAGAATAGCTTGTATATCAGGTTGAAGTTTAGGTCCTGTATACATAGATTCATTTAAAGACAAACCAGCACTTGTCCGTGCTGAAGCATTGAATACGACGCGCAATTTGGTGGTATTACTATCAGGTCGAAGTACGCAATGATGAGGAATATAGTACGCGTGCGCAGTTGCAATTTCTGCTAAAGGTACAAGTTCCATATGACCAGCAGTTAGATAATCTTTCATAAAATTAATGTATTGATCACGAAGAGTCTGATTATTATTTAATCGAGCTTCTAAAAATTTAAACCGACGCAAAGCAATCGATTTAGAATCTCCTAATATCGGTCGAGGAGTTCTAAATGGTATGGTGACCATAAACCGTCCACTACTGACACGAGTTGTAGTCTCTTGATAAATTTGTTCAGCCATTTTATCATCAAGACTGAAATGGCGAGTAGAAGGCATTTCTTCTATCTCCCAGAACTTTTTCAACGTAGTGTCCAAGGTATCTGAGACAGTAATATTTAATGAAGTAATTGCTGGTTTATTACACTGTTCTACTGGACCTATTAGAGTCCATCCAAAAATAGTTTCCATCGCAATGGGTTGACCTGGTTTACCAGATATTTTTCCATCGAGTAAAATTTCAGGTAAGACGTCTGCTCCAAGTAACAAATCAATTGAACCAGGCACATTATATAATGGATCAGCCAGCGATAAGTTATTTAAGTGTGGCCAATTTTTATGCATTAAGGACGTGTGCGGGGTAGCTTCTGTTATATGAGTAACAATCAAAACTTCTACATGTACAGATGGTGACTGACTACCACGAGGTACCAAAGTAACGTTTGATTTTCCCCGAACAGTTGTCGACGTATGATTAGCGAAAGTATTAATTTTAACATTTGACGGACACTTTTTAACCATTAATAAATTGGCACAATGTTCTGTCATAAAACTAGCTTGCGAACCACTATCTAACAGAGCTCTAAAAGTTTTTCGCGTTCCATTTGCAGCTAACACGTCAAAAAGTATAGTAGACAACAATATTATGCGCTGTGGTTGACCTCTAACAACTAACGACGAAGTACTTGGTTCATCACAAGTAGCTGCAGTGGTTGGAGAAGACGAAGACCCGAAATGCAGTAATGTATGGTGAGACCGATTACATGTTTGACATTTATTTTTAGAGGAACAAGACACAGAAGAATGACCGAGACCAAGACAATTAATACAAAGATGATGAGATTTTGCTATTTGAAAGCGTTCTTGAGCGGTTTTATTAGTAAATTGTGGACACTTTCGAATTGAATGAGATTGCTTACACAATATACATTGAATACCTAGTGACTGAGCAGCTGTAGTAGCTAGTACTTTTGACGAAAATTGAGACCGGCATTTAGCATTCGAAAATTTACTTTGTTTATCAACTTGTTTTTGTTGACTGTATAGTGGTGCTGTTGAATACGGAATCGAATGAATATCAGCAGTTCTAATTTGACGACGTAGAAAGTCTACAAATTCATTTAATTTTGGATTATGTTTTTCACCAACAGTCGTTTCCCATCGAGCACGTAATTCTCGGTCGAGATGTTTTTCAAAGATATGAATGAGTATCGGACTCCATTGTCTTGTGACAAAGTCAAGATTATCTAACGCGGCTGTATGTTCCAAAATACAATTTAATAAATTTTTTATTGAACTTGCATCGTTAGCTTTTACTATATATGAAGCTAGTAAGGGCTCAAAATGAATGCGAGCTAAATCACGTTTATTTCCGTATCTCGCCCGCAATATCTCCCACGCACTATGATAATTTGCAATGGTCAACGAAAGATGAGATACTAATGTTTGCGCTTCACCTTCGAGGGACGTCTTTAAAATTTCAAACTTTTCGACATCGGATATATGCGGGGTATGCGACAAGATTGAAGTGAAAAGTTGCTCAAAATTTTGCCACTCTTTCATGTTACCGGAAAAGGTAGGAAATTTACGTTTCGGATATTGTATACTTTGTAAAAAAGAATTCGAAGCGTCTAATGGTTGAGACATAGTGACATTTTCTGACAAAGCTACATCCTTTTTTTGAAACAGAGACATTTGATTAATATCAGCAAACGCCGCAAGATCATAATAAAGCGAGTCAAAACTATCTATTAATGAGTTACTAGCCGAACAATCAATGACGTCATTCGGCGCTGATTTATTACCAACGGCAGTTTCCATTAACTGAACATCTTCTTCGACACATTTTCGAATATTATTTAATTCAGTTAACATATTTTTTATTTTGGCCCGTTTCTCGGCACTTAACCTATCTTTGTTGAATTCATTCATAGCGTGAACAAATGTATTAACTCGATTTATTGCACGCACGACGCGAGCTTTTGCATCAACATATGCGACAGAAACGGGTGGCGACATATTTAAACAAAATAATAAATAAAACTAAATTTTTATTTTTAAAAAGACGACGAATGTGTGTGACACTGTAGTTCGACGAAAAGGATGAATAAACGATCTCGGGAAACGAGAACGCAGAGATAACTACAGTATCAACCGATGTAGATTCAAAATATATTAAATTAATAGCACTATTTACACAATTAACAAAATAGATTTAAAGCAAAATAATCAACTGTTAATTAGAAACAAAAACAAAAAAAAATACGAAAACGAATCGAAATTGAATAGTAATTTAAGTGAACTATAAATAATATAAAAAGGTCACAGNAAATTAACTTTTTCAACTTAACTTTTCAAAATGTTCAGGAAGGTCTTACATTTTTATATATATCTTAAATTAAAGCTAATGTAATGTACTTTATTATGAAAAAAAAACATTTGACCTCTGGACTTGTCTTCATGGTGAAAACGGCTACCGAATGCTATTTTTGTATGAAATTTCTCGATTTTATATTTTACATTTTTTACTTTTAAGGCTATAATTATATTATAACTTTAAAAAAAAAAATGTATGGATCAATACAATTTTTTTATGAGAAATAATATTTTTTAATAATCTCTTTTTCATTTGACATACTTTATCTTAATCAGAATATTAATAAGGAACTAGCAATTTTTTAAGTCGTGAAAATAGCTTTGAAATTTGAATTTACTTAAATTGCCATTTTTTTCAGTTGATAGAAGCGACGAACAGTTGCCGAGTCGGTAAAATTTGTATCTTACGCGCTTTAGGTACAAGGTTCCTTCAACCCGTATATGGCAATTAATTTTTTGCACTTTTTTCTTAATTCTTTTTGAGTCAGAAAAAAATTTTCAACTCATTTGATTTATATCTCATTTAGATTCAATAACTTCAATAAAGATCCCATCACTGTAGTCGCCCATAATTAGATGAAATGTCTTATTCATATTAAAAATATTTTACTATGTTTTAGGTTTTAGCTTCGTTGCAAAGCTGAGAAGGTGTTTTTTTGTGACTAACATTTATTTTCTCTGCTCTCATTTGACCTCCTTTTTTCAACGATATGTCAAATGATTACAAATCGTATTTAGTTGAAGATATTACCCTAAAAAATTGAAAATAAATTCTAATTTATCAATTAAACAGTTACTTATCCCATATTCTCTATACAGGCAATTATAATCATTTATTTCTAATATTTTCAAAGTATTTATTGACGAATCAAGTTTGATATGATAGGTTTCAACTACAAAATTTAATCATTTTACTTTGTAATTTAATAATTTTATTACTCTATTTGTGCGTGCTACAACTGGACTATACTATTCTAAATTTTTAGGAACCATGTTGCTATATAAATAATTTCTAAAAAAAATGATTGTTAGTTTCTCCTGAATTTACAATGGATTTCATAAAATTTATAATCAAATTTTATAATACGTTCAATTGAGTAAATCTTTTTAACAACTTTGTTTTTATTGGTTTTTTTAGTTAAAGTAAATCATTTAAATTAATTAAGTTCTGAATATTTCAATTAAAGAATCTTTTTAAATACCAAAAGTTACTAGGAAATCATTACTATTATTTCTATTTAAGAAATAGATAAATTGTTAAAACATTAACTTTGAATTGTCTGAAATATTTTCAAGTAATATATTTGAAAACTATTTTAACTACATTATTTTATTTATTTATAGTAATAGTTAAAAAAATACTGTAAATAATCGAGAAATTTTTAGTTATTTAAATCACTTTATACATAGTAAACTAAAAAAATTTATTATAAGGCGACAGATGTTTTATCATAAGTATTTATTATTAATATCATATTATTTATAAAAGTTAAATAGAATAAATTAAGGTCTTCTGACACTTCATTAAATTATTTTTTAATAAAAAAATTTCAGATATAAGGAAAATTAATAATTTTCCAAATGTATTTATTAAAACTTTACACATTTAGTTTTGTATTCTTTTCTGTGATATTATATACCAAAGCGGATCCGGCTTTAAAAAAAACGGTTGATCAGTTTCATATGTTACTAAAATATTCAGGGTGGAAAAATTTAAAAGATTTGGTTTCTATAAAGCTTCGCAGGGAGACACATTATGTTAAAGATTTGATTGTAATACCAACACATCGCAATAAATGTCACCAAAAAATAAGAGCCTTGACTGTATGTATTGGATGCATATATGTAAAATTTATAAATAAAATTTCATTAGTTATTAGCAACATTTTACAAATGTGTCAAAAAAAAATTCTAGAAGATTTAATTAATGGATGTATTTGCACCGAAGAACTTGTATACATATTAACCTTATTAATTGTTCCACTGACAACATTGATGCAAGGAGCCATAAATGCTTTGAATTCTATACGCATAAATTCAAGTTTAAAATTTGCAAATCGTCACTGCACAATAAGTAATTTATTAGAGACATTTGGAAATATTCTTGAAATTTTGAACTATAAAGCTCTATCACGTGATAATGTTTCTACATACTTTTGGACATTAAATTACATAGATAGTTTTATTATAAACACATTAAATGAAATACAAGCTGTAACTAATATCTATTGTGAATTTGTATCTTATGATACAAATGATTTATGGAATAACTGGGTTCAAGAATATGAAGCTTTTATTGACCACGAAGATAGTTCTGTATTTTTAAAATTTATAAAGAAAAAAATTAAGGATAATGTAATGACAGTAATTAAAGAACAGTATTTACAACTAGGATTTATATTTGACCCAATTACTGAAGAAACGTTTGCAGCAACATTAGATGACCCAATTGAGCTAGGTATTTATAATAAATAAATATTAATTTAATATCTTATAATTATTATTTTTTGACTCTAGAATTGGAATTGGCAATAAATGAAGAGCATCCAGCAATAATAAAAATAAAAACAAGTGAAAGTTTTAATCAATTTAATATTGGTTTACATTAAATAATTATTAAAACATAATAATATGATTCTATATTAAATTGAAAGGAGTGAATGATATTATTATAATATTACAATAAGCTAAAATATAACATTAGAAATAATAAAATTAAATTTTAGTCGTTTTTATAAACGATTTTTGGTACCTGTATAATATTATCTATTGTCTATGTATTACTTTATTTTTCAAATTGTGTTCATGTTTATGATCTTTTAATTATACAATTTAATTATTATGTTTGTGTCATTAAAGCATACAAAATTTATATATTTTGCTTTGCTTTTATTCTAAGTAAAGCTATACGAGTTTTCTTATTGAAACACAATTGGATTTCTACATAGAAAGTATCGTATATACGATACGACCTTGGTTGTATTATCCAGTAAAGTGTGCTGGTATAAGTTGAGTACATTTAGTCTTATTACTCTTTTATGGTTGACAGTCGTGGACATATTCCATGGAAGTGTTCATAGAGAAAAAGATCCTGAGTCAACTACGACTCAATGATTTTATTTATTTATAAAACTAAAAACTAGTGTTGTTATAACAAACTTATAACAGAGTTGTGTTTTCAATCGATATTGACACGACAAAGTTGTTCCAAACTAGTGACTGAAACACATAGTCATGACAAGAAATTGTAATGTGTTCTGGTATTTCAAATTGATCAAGATTAGTAATATTATTCTGATTATTTGATAATAATGTATTTTATAAATTTTTAATATTTTAATTATTCGGTCCTAATACTGTTTAAATTATTTTTTCTTATTGTGTATTTTTTAAACAACATGACAAAACAGGAGAAGTAAATGGCTGCACTGATGATGACAAAGTAAAATTTTTACACATTTTTCTTGAGAACATTAAGGATAAATCTGCCTCGTAGAAGTGGGTAGATTTAAAACAAAAATTTATAGAGAAATTTCAACTAATAGAGTATTGAAAAATAAAGTTGAAAATAAGCAACAAAATAAACGACAAAATGACTTAGAGTCAGTAATGAGATTTGTAACGGAGGTAGATAAATAGTGTAAAAAGGTAACTAAAAACATGTCTAAAGATTATATTTGTAATTATATTTTGAGTATTTTAAGAATATAGAGTACCTAACCCCTCCGACCTATATGACTTTATTGTTTGTCAGTACAGCTACCTGTATTTGTAATTCCTTGTGTATTATACATGTATATTAACTCAAAAATTTGAAACTTTAAATGTTTATATCTAATAAACAAATAAAGTTATACTAAAAATTCAAATGCCATTAACTATTAACTACTTAAAAAGTATTATATAGTTAATAATTCAAGAAACTAAAGATAATAATAAAAAAAAATATATAAATTATTATTATTCTGTTAGTAATTGAGTGAGTTATGATAAAAAAATTACCCTACATATAATTTATAAAAAAAAAAAGTAGTATTAATCCATACATTTTTTAAAAAGTTTAGCAACAAAGTTAAAAGATGAAAAAAATTATATCAAGAATTTTTTTACAAAAATAGCATATTATTGAATACGGCAAACATTTTCACTATGAAGACAAGTCCAGAGGTCAAATTTCTTTTTTCAAATTGAAGTATATTATATAGGTTTTAAATTAAGGTATATATAAAAGGGTTAGTATTTCCTGAACACTTTAAAATTTAAGTTGAAAAAATTAATTTTTTGTGAAAAAGTTGCCATTTTGAAACTCTTATTGTGGGCAGGTAAAGGGTCAAATGTTCACAATGAGGGAGATAATCATTTTCGTTAAACCTGAATAAGGTAGGCTTTTCGTTTTAGCATACGGGCAGGTTAGGTAGCTGCCAGTACCAAATTGTTTGGCATTTATTGAATGTTACGTTCAGGCCTGTGTTTAAGTTTTTTGCGTGGGTTATTAATATTAATGAGCAAAACAAAGTAATTTTTTATCCCATTACTATCAAATGACGTTTACCCTCAATCATTTTTGCCCCCCTTAACCATCCCTAAATATGGTCCCGTCGTTTTAAATATTTACTTATTTATCAAATAGGCAAATCTTTATAAAGAAAATATGACGTTTTACTAAGGTTAATAAATTATAATAGATAACTATCTTAAGTATGTATTAGGGTGGTCCTTAATGTATAGATGCGGAATTTTTTTTTTCAAAATTTAATCGGGCTACCCCCGGAATTTGTTCAAAACTATAAAAAAATAATTTGTGTCAAATTTCCATAATTTTGACAACCATAAGCCGTGCCTCAAGAGGGTTGAAAATTTAATCATGAGTATAGTTTTTCAATAATTGTAGTTTATCTCAAAATTTATGACTTTTACATAAAAGTTTATAAGAAAAAAATTGTAGATATGAATATTTTACATAAAAAAGTTATTACTAAAAAAGTCATAAGTCAAATATTTACCTCGCAAAAGTTAAAAGTTCAACCAAATATATTTTTAAGAGTAAAATTCTGAAATTTTCACAATTTTAATATATACGATGAAGCGCTTGCGTTATAAAAAAAATGCTTGAGTAAAAGTTGTTTTAAATTAAATGTTTCATATTTTTTTTAAAAAAAAAACAGTTATGAATTATTTAATTTATAAGTATTATATTTTAGTTTTTGTCTCGTGTGGAATATGTTTATCGAAAAATGCTAAAGCAATGTTGTCTGAAGTTAAATAACATAAATGGTTAACAAATTTTTTCAAATTATTTTTAGATAATTCTTCATCTATGGTTTTGTATAAGAAAATATTTTTTAAAAATTCTAAATCTTGTCGAGGCGTAAAAGCAGCAATTGGTGCATTAAACCAAGCTTTGATGCATAAATTAACCAAGAAAATGCATATACTCGAGATTGAATTATTTTCTTTTTGTGTCAACTTGAATTCTTCACGAATATTAAATATTTTAAGAGTATAAAGCGCTTTTGAGACATCCATCGAGAATGGTGAATCGCTCCTATAGCTCTAAATAATACACCTCTAGGTGGAACTCTATTTAAAAAAATTACTGTTAGCTCAAGAAGTTCTCTATAATCTTCTCTAAAGTGAGATAGTTTTAATTGATTTAAACAAAACTCTAAAATATGATCAATTGAACTTTGCAATTTTTCAAAAATAAATCTATCGTTGATACCGGACTTGTAATTTTCGGCCAAGAATTTTGAAAACGAAGAAATAAGGGGACATTCGGTCCTGAAGTTTTGTGTCATATGTACATTTTAAAATAATCTCGTAAATATGATGATGACACGGAAAGAATAAAATATTTTTTTCTAACGATTGTTCTAACAAAACACACGTACCTCCAATCCTGTCTAAACGATAATTAATATTACTATTTATATTTTCAATTAAATTTTGAAGGATAAAAAATTATAAATAACAGTTAATATAATTTTAAGTAAAAGTAACAACACGAAAAACGGTAATTTTTTACACAAAAATAATAATTTTCGTTTAACTTCGGCTGAATAAAATATATAATAAATATAGTATAATAATAAACAATTGTTTTATTTACCTGATAGTTAGTGGCTGTAGTATCAAAACACATAGCTTTTACGTGGTTTGTTAAACCTCAATCGACCAACCTTTGATATATAGCCTCAGCCTGTGATTTAGAAGTTCCGTTTAACAACTTTGGTACTGCTAATAGTTGGTCATTTCCATTATTTGAAATAATTATAGGTAGTCTATCAACTATTTGTTTACTACATAAATCAGGTAATAATTTGCCGTCCCAATGTAAAACTAAGGTATTGAGATTAATCACAGAAAATTTGTCGCAAATTTCTGTAGCTAAATTCTAACATATTTTTTCACGGTGTTGTTTAATTGATAACCTATTAACTATGATATCATTGACATCATGTTCTAATGATTCAGCCGCTGCAATTATAATGTGCACTGCGTCTCGGTCGCTTATTTTGCACCAATCTAATGCTGAAGATAACTTTACAGTCATTATGTCTATTGTACCTCTTTGTTTTATGGAGCTTGATATTGGCAAAACATTAGTTTCATTAGACGGACCCGGTGAAAAATTAATATCTTCTAAATTTAATGTTTGATCTTTAGTTTTTTTAACATTGCCATCAAACAAATTACTGAAGTCATCATTGTATACAACTATAAAACAATATAAATTAATGAATATAATGATGTATAAATCGTTGTAGATAATTTATAGATCGTAATATTTTAATCTAACTCACAATCATCAGGCAAACTTTCTTCTGTGTCGTCGCTTGTAGAACAGAATTAGCTAAAATTTAAATAAAAATTGCATATGACTGAACAATACAATACTATACTATTCACTGTTTATTTTTAACTCAAAATACTTACTAATTAATTTGAATTCATCTTCATTATGTTTTCTTTTTTTCTCAAATTCTTTTAATTTTTTTAATTGCTTAAATTCTTCTTTTTGGTAAGTTACATCAACGCTAATAAGTGATCCTGGACGACCTTTTTGTCTTTGACTTATTAAAAACTGCTTGTCTATATCAATAGTCATCATGTCTAATAAATCTGCATGAGTAATATCAAATAGCTCATCAAACACATTGTACAAATTGTTTTCTTTATCTATCTGAGTATTTGTACGCCGACTTGAATTTTTTTGCAAATTACGCCATGTATTGTACAAATTCTCTAATTTTGGTAAACAATTACGAACTTCTTTAGTAGGTATTCGAGCTTTTTGCCAGAATATCAATGTTTCATCGATCACTAAACGCGCACTATCAAGAACACTCAAGTTAACTTCTCGAATATTAAAAAATAATACCGATAAAACTTGTCTATTTGATGGTAATTTACATCCAACGAGTTGATGTGAACTATTACCAATTAAATAAATACTTTTTCGTGAATTTCTTTTCGTCTCCATTAAATAAAAAAGTGATAATTGAGTTTAAAAAATCATAAAATACACTGACTACAGATTATCTCGATGAAACCTCAATGTTAAACGTAAACGTTTATAATTGATGTAAAGATATGAACTAAAATGCTGTAGTTTATGATATCGCATGTAATCAACACAGATAATAACAATAGGTAATTTTAAGTAGGTAATATACAATCTGACCATATTATTTCGATAATATTTATACCTTGTAGAAATCAACAAACAAAAATAATCTATTATTTTGTCGATATAAACGTATGATACTATAATAAAAAACTCTAGAAATGAATTTTTGTTATTTTGTGATCGAATGAGCCATTTTATGGAAAAAGTACTAAAGACAAATATTATTGAAAATTTAATTAAAAAAATATTTTATTATAAGATATGTTTTCCTATCGTTAATACTTTAGGATATAATCGCAAAAAATAAATACGCCCATTTTTTTCATTTTGTTGAACTTTTAACTTTTGCGAGGTAAATATTTGACTTATGACTTTTTTAGTAATAACTTTTTTATGTAAAATATTCATATCTACAATTTTTTTCTTATAAACTTTTATGTAAAAGTCATAAATTTTGAGATAAACTACAATTATTGAAAAACTATACTCATGATAAAATTTTCAACCCTCTTGAGGCACGGCTTNATACTCATGATTAAATTTTCAACCCTCTTGAGGCACGGCTTATGGTTGTCAAAATTATGGAAATTTGACACAAATTATTTTTTTATAGTTTTGAACAAATTCCGGGGGTAGCCCGTTCAAATTTAAAATAATGAAAAATCCTTATTTTTCATGATTACTGTGTATACATATGATGATAGTGTGTATACATTACAAACTTGGCATAAATACCATGATAAGAAATTAGATAAGGCAAATAATTGGGATAACATAAAATTACTTACTTATCACTCTCATTCAAAAGTATATTGAAAAGATAGCGTTTTCTTCTGTCCTTTTCTCAATACGTATTTCAATGTTTAATACCGTAAAATAGTACATGAAAATTCAAATTTTCACAAACTTCAAAACGCTACAGAATATTTACTACTGAATATTAATAAGATATTTTTTTACTAAAATTTTTCTTAAATTCTACTCTACAAAATAGCTATCTTAGATTTTTTTTTTACATTTTATTTAAAATTTAAAAATAATTAATATTTTTAATAAAATGTAAAAATATTAATTATTGAGATATAGCTATAGACCTAACGTCTAACTAATATTTAAAAAAGAAATCAGCTGAAAATATTAACTGGATCAAAAGTTATTTAAGTTGTCAGTGAGTGGTGGGCCATCCTGTATATATATATATATATATTTGTAATAAATAATAAAAAGGGAAATGATAAATATTTTCTATTAATATTTTTAAAAATATATTAATAGAAGGATGCGCCTTAAAAAATTGTTCAATAAAATGTGAATGAAATGATTCACAATTATCAATTGTGCTATCTAATAACAATAAAAAAAATAGTAAAAAGCTCGATTAAATGAATAGTAGATAATTATTATCGTGTTATTTTGGCAAATATTTTAACCAGTGGTTCTCAAGCTTCTATTTATAGACAGGTATAAACTATCGGTTTATGACAACCGGTATTTATTTATTATGTAATTTTTGTTATTACTGTGACGGCGAAGCTTGTCAGCTACTCTTTAGCCCTTCGGGGCTGGTAATGTATAATTTTTTTGTAAACATGTTTTGACCCAGATTATTTTTTTTTAGTGCTTTGTGCTAAAAGCACGTCTGGTGAATTTATTTTATTTAATTTTTTTTTGTATTTGTTACTATTTTCTATAACATGATAGGCGTGTTACAATACCACCTGTCATGTTATATATATATACATATCTTTTTTGTGAATTTCTTTTACATCATATCATATCATTTTTATTTTATGCAGGTTCCATATTCATTTGACTCGTGTATTTTTGAATTTTTTTCCTTTCAAAAATTAATTCTCCCTAGTTTATAAGGTACGGACAACAGCCTTGTATATGGTCATCACTGATCATCATGATCATGTGACAACTATCACAAGGTTTTGGAGTATATCAACAGTCAACAATTCAACAAACTTCAAATATAATCTTTTTTTTTTATTTTTATTTTTTTCTTAAATTTCTTTCAGTATAAAATATTTTATTTTCGTAAAATCTTACTGGTTCGACAGTACATTGTCTCTCCCAGTGGTTAGCGACCCTCATTTTGTATTTTTCAATGCGTCATGAAAGTTACAAATTTTCCGTAGTGGCTAATTCATTAGATTATTTTTATGATATTAGTAACGTTTCACGTAAAAATTTGATTTAGCAACGTTTTATTGGTCTATAAACAATGAAAAATGTTTCATTTTAGTGATATATATTTGTTATAATTCAAAAATAATAAGCAATATTGGTAAAGTTGGTAAAATATAAATAATGAAAATGAAAGATGAATATTTGGGTTTAGTGAGAACCTGATGTTGAGGTTCTATCGGGGTCGTATGGTTCGAGGGTTTAGAACGACAAAGACAAGTAGATATAAAAATAATAGACGTAGTGCCTCTATTCGAGGTGAAATAAACTTTTGTCTGGTTAGTTTCTAATGTCCTAACTAAGAGGCAACGAAACGGCGAAGCCAGTTCACGAATACCTCGGCAACGAGACGGCAGAGCCAGTCCACGAATACCAGAGCCTAATTTATACAGTAGAAATCACGCTAGGTTTTGTAAAACATCTTTAAGGCAACGAAACGGCAGAGCCAGTCCACGAATACCATATAACGTGATTATGTATAACTTCTTTAACCAACCAGTCAAAATTGACACTTTAAGATATTAATTTAATAAATGATCTATTGCTTTGTCATCCTTTACTCAAATTTATTAACTCCAAATAATTGGGATAACATAAAATTACTTACTTCTTTTATTCTTGCAAATTGCTGTAAAATGATTTGATAAATATCTCGATATGTTTATATATGTTTAAAAGTATTTAATTCGCACTTCTTCAAAAGATAAATAATTAAAACAAGTTCTTTTCATATATAAATAAAACGCGTAAAAGTCAGCCGACAACAACACAGGGCTGTGACTGATAATTGTTTCTTTTTTTTCTTATTTCAATTCGGAGAAAACGAACTCTCTCGCTCGCTGTCACTCCTTGGAGTCTCCCCGGAGTCTCTCCTGAGTCTGAAAGGATTTCAGTGCTTTTTATAGTAAAATGATAGTACCCCCAATCCAGGGATATTGTTGTCAGCGCTTTTAGTGATCTTTTTAGTTTATTGTATTTAATTATACATTACATGATTATTATATTGAGATAACATATTTAACAATTAATAATTTGACATATATATATAAATAATAAGAAATTGTGTTGAACATCGTATTTGTTATGACAGATAAATTATTTGTTTGTTTACAAGTTATTTAAAATACAGATTATACATTTTTCATTAATAATTAGAAGATGCGTAANTAATTTAAAATACAAATTATACATTTTTCATTGATAATCGTAAGATGCGTAATGCAAATCATTGAGCATATTACGACATATTTTAACTGTGAATTTACTAAAAAAACGAATTTAATACTGCTATTATTTGTAATGATATTTAATCAAAAAGAGATAAAAAAGAATATTTTAAGCTGGTTTAGAAATTCAGTAATTTAGTTGAAGCAAAATGTTTAATAAAAATCGGGGGTCTCATTATTATAGCAAACTTTCGTAAGGTATTTTAAAATAATAATAAAATCCCATAACCTACCTACTTAAATAAACCTTGAAAAATTAATGCCTTCTCAGTTTTTCATTAAGTGTTGGAAAATCTACTTAGCGGCGTGATTAAAAATAGAATTTTATTATTATGTTTTAATAATTTTTTAAAGTTTTACAAATATTTACGTAAATTTTAATAAATTTATTATAATGATGTTTTATACATAATTGTAAGATATAAAATTAGTTATATAAAATTTAATGAATTTCTATTTGTATTGGCATTGAAGGCTTCTCATCTGTTTCTCTAAATTCCAACTCTAGATTCATAAAAAAAATTATAATACTATTAATAAATATTTAATTAATATTATTTATTTTAAATACCTAATTCAATTAGCTCCTCTGGTGTTGGGACAAATGTTTCTTCGGTGATTGGATCAAATTTAAAACCCAGTTGAAAATACTTTTCTATAATTGCTGTCTTGATATAATCTTCAATTTTTACGTTTAAGAATTTGAAAAATTCTAATTTTGCGACATAAACAATGTCTTCATATTCTTGAACCCAACCATTCCATAAATAATCCATGTCATAAGTTTCAAAAATACAAAAGATATCAGTGTTTTGTTTTATGTTCGATTTTATTTTTTCAAAAAAATATTTTATAAAATTTTTTACTGAATTGTATTTAGAAATATTATCGCGTTTTAGAATTACATTTATTAATTTATCATGAATAGTTTCTATTTCTCCTACGAAATTACTTATTTTATGGGAGTATTTATCACATAATGGGTCACTACCCCATGGAATGTTATGTAACATATCCAAAGCAATCATGGCTTCTTTCATCAATTTGGCCATAGGAACAATGAATAAAGATATTATATTTATGAGTTTTTCAATGCAATTGTATCCATTTATTACATCGTATTCTATATTTAATATTTTGTCACATTTTTGTTGGTAGTTTATAATAATTGAAAACAAATTTTGCATAACTTTTGAGTATGTACATCCAAGAAATATAGTCAAACCTCGTACTTTTTTATTACAATTATAGCGAAGTACAGGCGTTTTTATCAAATTTTGTAAGTAAAATGTATTTGTACTATATATTATAGAGTTCACATCGTTTAATTTTTTCCATCCCGAATATCTTAGCAACGTCTTTAATTTATCACTATTTAGTTTGTTATTCAGTTTTGCTTTTGTATAAATTATCACACACAATAATAAAAAACACAACTTAGAAAGTTTTGATAAATTCATTGAAAAATAATTATTACTATTACAACTGCAACTTTTTGATGAAACAATAATTCAACAAAGTGATAAAAGACACGTATTTATTTTATTCTAAATTTCTAAATTATAAGATGAACTTTTACGATAAACATCTGTTGTATAAAACTTATTTGAATTTTTAAATTTTAGTTTTATACACCTAACTAAACATTTATCGCAAATTTCAATTTTAGCTTCGATGCGAATGTATTAATTTTACCATGATGTGTTTTTTTTATGCCTGTTGCCACTTTTTCTCAGTTCTCATTGAACCGATTTATTTCAACAATACGTTAAAAGATCACAAATCGTATCTGGTTGAAGACATTACCCTTAAAAATTGAAAAATTTTCCCTCGTTTCCCACAAATGAAACCTTAGGTTGGGTTTTTTGAAGATCTATCACTTATTCTGCTCACAGGGGGGGGGGATTTAAAATAGCTACTTTTTACTAAAACTAACTTTTTCAACTTAACTTTTGAAAATATTCTGGAAATACCACGTCCTTTAAACATATATCAAATTAAAGCTTATGTCGTATACTATAAAATTAAAAAAAAAATTTATCCCGACGCCCTATCTTCTATGCGAAAATGGTTACCGTATTCAAAAATATGCTATTTTTATGATAAAATCCTGAGTTTTGTATTTTATATTATTTTAAAATATCTTATGAGGGCAATACACTGAATTTCATGAATATTTAATAATTTATTTGACATAGAATAAAGTTCATAAGATATAAGAAATTTAACTTATTTAAATTTTTTTGCTTTTTTAAAGTCGAAAAAGTAACTTTTAAATTTGACTTAGCTTAAATTGCTAATTTTGTCATACGATGAAAGCGACGAACAGTTGCCGAATCGGTAACACTAAGGGTACGAGGTTCGCATCCACCTGTGACAATTAATATTTTGCATTTTTTTTGAGTTAGAAAAAAATTTTCAAATCATTTGATTTTTATCTCATTAAGATTTAATAACTTCAATAAATATCAAGGATCCCATCACTGTAGTCTCCCCTCGTGAGAAGAAATTTTATATTCATGATAATATTATTTTACTTGTGTTTTTTTTTTGAGGCTGTGATTTATTTTTCCATCTTTCACTTAACCTACTCTTTTCAACGATACGTCAAATGATTATAATTCGTATTTAGTTGAAGATATTACCCTCAAAAGTTGAAAAAAAATCTCTTAATCAAATAACAAGTAGCTTAACCAGCTTTATACATACAAACAATTAAAATGATTAATTTCTAATATTTTTAAAGTATATTGTCAAATTAAATTTGATATTATGTAATTATACTTTGAAATTTATTAATTTTGTTTACTCTATTTGTGTGTGCTACTATCAGTCTATAACATTCCAAATTTTTTCGTAACATGTTGCTTTATAAATCTTAAATCTAAAAAAAAAATGATTTTTCGTTTCACCTGAATTTAACAATGGATGAAATAAAAAATTTACTGTAAATAGTAATTATAAAATTTCCTGATTGCATATTAATCTTAAAAATACCATTTTTGCTTCGATGCGAAGCTGAGAAGGTATTGGTTTTACTAAGATGTGTTTTTTTTTTTTTTTTGTGTCTGTTACCACTTTTTCTCAGCTCTCACAGAACCGATTTCTTTCAATGATACGTCAAAAGATCACAAATCGTATCTAGTCGAAGACATTACCCTCAAAAATTGAAAAAAAATCCCTCGTTCCCCGTAAATGGGGGAAACCTCCAAAAAAATTACAAATTTAAAAATCGCTAATTTTCAAAATGTTTTCAATTTTTTTTATTAAAAACTACCATAACTTTTTTAAAAATGAACATATCAATATAATTTTTTTTTATATAGATGCATGATATCATTACCTTTCATTTGGTATATTTTTTTTATAAATCTGACTTTTTACCTGCCTACAGGGGGGGATTCAAAATGACAACTTTTTCACAAAAAATTAACTTTTGAAAGTGTTCCGGAAAGTCTGACACTTTTATATATATATTAAATTAAAGCTAATATAATATACTTTATAATGGTAAAAAAAAATTTCAGACTTTATTTTATCTTCATGGTGAAAACAGACATTAAACTTAATAAAAAAAATACGATTTTTGTAAAAAAATTCTTTTTTATATTTTTAACTTTATAATGCTATAACTTCTCGAAATATGTATGGATCAATATAATTCTTTTTTTTGTAGATGCATGATGTCTTTACCTATCATTTGGTATATTTTTTTTATAAATCTGACTTTTTACCTGCCTACAGGGGGGGATTCAAAATGACAACTTTTTCACAAAAAATTAACTTTCCAACTTAACTTTTGAAAGTGTTCCGGAAAGTCTGACACTTTTATATATATCTTAAATTAAAGCTAATGTAATATACTTTAATTTGAAAAAAAAAAAATTTGACCTCTGGACTTGTCTTCACGGCGAAAATGGCTATCGAATGCTTTTTTCGTATGAAAATTCTCGATTTTATTTATATTATATTTAACTTTATAATGCTATAACTTATTGAAAAGTTTATGGATCCACACAATTTTTTTATGAGAAATAATATTTTTTAATAAACCCTTTTTCATTCGACATATTTTATCTTAATCAGGATATTAATAAGGAACTAGCAGTTTATGAAGCTTTTGGAATAATCCACCAATTTTTTAAAATTAAACACTATCTAAAGATTTGCATCGAAGCGTTTTTTTTTGTTAGTGATTTTAATCACTGTCAGATATCATTATACTTGATCCAACTATGCCACGTCACCACTGTGCCGCGACCCCCCTGTGCTGGGTTTTTTTCTATTTAATGATGTCGATTTCAAACATGCAAATTGAGCTAAAAGTTATGGTAAAAAATTCATTTTTTTTTATTATAAACTTTTACTTGAAAGGACAAAAAAAAGTTAAAAGTTAAAAATTATTACTAATTTGAAAACTGTAGGGATTAACAAAGATGTTAAATAACATGTCACAATGAATGCTTTTATATATGTTTATATGTTTTATCTTAGATGTACTGCAGTACGTAACACTCCGTGTATTATTTTTAGTATCGCGCTGTTCGTCAATCCAGTGACACTTTTTATTTGTACTCTTTTTTTTTATGTATGTATAAATCATATTTCATTATTAAAAATTATTAATTATTGTAAATTTTAGTTGTAGTATTTTTGTAATAAATATAAACACCAAAACACTACAAAACAATTAATTATAAAAATTATATAATATATAAGTAAAAGAATTACTAATCTTGATATAATTAAAGAAATAGAAGTTGATGTTGCTTTTGTAATTATCCACCACCAATTTCTTAGAATTATACACTATCTACAGATTTGCATCGAAGCATTTCTTATGATAGTGATTTTAATCACTGTCAGATTAAATTTATATTAAAACCCAACTATGCCATGTCCCCACTGTGCTGAGTTTTTTTATCTAAGATTAGCAGTAGTTGTATAATATATGAGCTAGGACCCCGCTAACCCACATCATGTGGGTTTACCCTACCCTAGGTACGAATGTAGGAGGTCAGGGAGATATGGTGAAAGGCATAGACCTCATTTCCCACGAAAGGTTCAGAGTATAATGGAGGAGGTTCTCCCCTCTGTGTCTTAGCTAGTACAATTGGTAACACAAGTATGGGGGGTTAAGAGTAAATCTACATGTAGGGGCTCGCTACCACATAAGAAGAGGGGCATTATATGAAAAAATGAATACTTAAGCTATGGCAAACGGATTAAAAGTAGAAAAGTTAATTCATAAAATTATAATTAAAAAATATAATAATAACATGTTATTAAATTACGAGTGCATAAAGTGTTACAATTTAAGCAGTCGGCATGGCTATCAAAATATATAGAATTCAACACGAAGATGAGTCAGAAAGCCAAAAATAATTTCGAAAAAGTCTTTTTAAAATTAATGAATAACGCTGTTTTTGGTATGTTTTAAAATTAAATAAAAAAAATATATATAAACATAATTTTAATGCGATTTCGTTTGTTAACAGGTAAAAAGATGGAACGTGTACAATTTAGATCGCAAATGGAACTGGTTAATAATCCGAAACGAGCGACTAAATTAATTCAAAAATATAATTTCAAATATTGTACAATGTACAGTGAAAATTTATCGGTGTTTGTATTGGAAAATAAAATTATCGATTTTTGTAAACCAGTACATGTAGGTTTTGCAATTTTAGAAATTAGTAAACATTTCAACAACAAATATAGACCATTAAGACTATGAAAATGGCATTAAACCGTTTGGATGATAAGCGGTTTATATCAGAAGACCGTATTACTACTTCACTTATGGTCATTATAAACTAAAGTACGTATACCATAATTATGCTAATAATTATTAAATATATATATTAAATAGTATTATTTTTTATTAATAGATACAGCATTGAAACTCATGATTTGTAGTTCCATCTTATAAACTAATGTAAAATAATAATAAACAGAAATAAAAAAATGTATTATTTATTAGTAAACAATATTATTATTATGTACAAAAAGTTATTGTTGAAATTATATTAAATAAACAAATTATGTTTATGAGCCTTACGCGCCTTCGGGTAGTCATCATAAGTAGGCCACTGATTCCGGTAGGAGTGTCCGGCTACGCCGGGCACGATAAGTGTTTTGCAGAAAAAATATTACATCAGAATCAGTGTAACAAAAGTATATTAAAAATGTTATTATTAAAATCAGGAAAATTCAAAAAGAGAATATAGTAAAATGTATTGCGTATAAGGTTGACGGTTGTTAATGAGATATTCCCTTTAGGTCTATTCAAAAATTATTTTAGGAGGGTATTTAATATTTTTTACTTTGTTAAACATGTTATACAATTTTTTTTGCTAAAAATCAAAGTAATGATAAAAAAAAGGACATTATGTCCTTATTTATTAGAAGTTGCCTAAAAAAATATTGTTATCGCTGGTTCAAGGGGGGCCCATATCCCCCTTAAATACACATCTGGTATACACAAAAATTATTAATATTCTAATTATAATAATTATGTTTATATTATAGAATAATTACACAAAAATTCAGTAGGTTTTTATACCTAAAAAATTATACGTGAAACTATGTAAAAAAATTAATTTTTATAAAAATATTGGTAACTGCGATTTAACGTTGGACAGCATAGTTGTCATAGATAAATCCTAATTTAAACGATAAACTCATAGTGTCCTAATAAAAATACATATTACACCATATAATTATGGTTCAGAATAAACGTATGAGCAGAAATGAGTCTGTTTGGCCACCGATCGGATATAGCGCCAATTGCGTACCATCAGTTCACGCGATCGAATTTTGTTGCACGTTGAGTGTGTACGGCGAGTCTGGTTTTGGCGCTTATGATATTAAGAACGATCCTATGACGGACAGTGGAGCCCTTCAACTTGAGAGCCCATAGCTGAGTTCTGTGAATGTCAATTCAATACCAAAAAGAAATTTTGGATGCCCATCCGCGTGTTCATGTTGTCAAGAACGTGTCTGGTCCTTGTATACGAATAAACGAAGTAACCAGGTTGCATATAAAGAATTTAAATATGTAGTTGTGTACTAATGGTAGATTAATTTATGTATTATTGTGTTTAGTAATAATCAAATTTACATTTGTGCTGTCAAAGAATATTGTTTCCTTTAGTTAAGTAAAATCAAGTCGTGTCCACTTAGACGAAAACACTGGGTGCTCCGACCAAGAGGTGTATTCGAGTCAGTGGCATATCAGAGTCAATGCGCATATTAAAACCATGCGCGTAGACTAAAAAAAAATAAATATAGTTTAAGAAAACTAAAAGCACATCGAACTAAAAAGTTAAAAATAATTTTTATTTCGATGTGCTTTAAAAGCGTGTTTTTTTAGTTTTTTTTAATTATATTTATTTTTTACTTTTTAGTTTCATGTTATTATAGTAGTTACTATCAATATCATGGTTATAACGGGTAAAGGGGAATAAGGGTTCGATTCCGGAGAGGGAGTCTGAGGAACGGCTACCACATCCAAGGAAAGCAGAAGACGCGCAATGTGGCGGTAGTGATGAAAAATGACGATACGGGAATCATTATCCGTAATCCTAATAAATACATTATATATCTCTTAATGAGAATAAAGCGTATTAATATGTAAGTTTTAATAGTAATTAAAATATATATATATATATACATGTAAAGCGACTTAAGTACGTAAACTTATCATGCACAAGGTATAGGTGTGTTTTGTGAGCGGGCGGGGCGCAGGGGAACCTTGTACGCAAGGCATATCCGGCGGCTGTAGGAATATATATATATATACACATACATACATATATATATAGTAAGGTGACATAAGTACGTAAACGTATCATGCACTAGGTATAGCCTTGTGGCGGTCGAATGTTCTAGAATGTTCGGCCGCCGCCGCCTCTAGAAGATTCGTCGCTCTACATAAGCGTGTGGCGGTCGAATGTTCTAGAGAGTTCCGTCGCCGCCTCTAGAAGATTCCTCTGACTATTTAAGGGCAAGATCGTCGCTCCAGTCAATCAATCGATCAGTCAATCACTTACGCATTCTGTCTTAAACGCGCTTCGTCTCTCGCTGTTATTTGTTAGTTCGTTGTAATATAGTATAGTTGTTATTAAATCGTAAAAGTGTTTATTACTTCTATATATTACACCTCGCTACAGCCTTGTTTTGTGGGCGGAGAGAACGTTATACCTAAGGTATATACGGCGTCAGCGGCGGTAGGAATATATAAATATGTATAAGTAAGGCGCATTACACGCGGGCGGTATTGGTCAGTCAAAATAAAAATTTGTTTATACAGTCGAGTCGCGATAACTCGAAGTTGAAGGGGGATAAAAATTCACTTCGAGATATGTATTATTCGAGATACCTAACTCGAATTTATCAAAATAAAATCAAAACTTCGAGTTACCTATGTAATGAAATATAATTTTAAAATTATACGATAAAAACGTCATGACAAATATAATACATTTATGTTTATACATAAATGCTATACAAAAACTAAATAAAATTAAAAAAATTAATACAATGAAATTATAAGTATGTACATATGTATCATATCCACCATCATCATCGTCATTGTTTTCTAAACCATCACCATCACACTGCTCATCATAAAATAGAATCCAGCTTTTTTGAAACAATTGACAATTGTACTTGGTTGTACATTACGCCATGCTTTTTCACACATACGCATGGATTGTAATAGATTTATTGAACATGGTCTGCCTTCATCAATATCGTAAACAATTTTTCGAATAATTTCTTTGCGGTATAATGTTTTGAAATTTTGTATTATTCCCCGATCCATCGGTTGTAGTTTAGATGTAGTATTTGGAGGTAAAAATTCGACTTTTACAGATTTTAAATTGATATTACAATGAGCTGTACAGTTATCAATAAATAATAAAACATTTCTTTGTTTTAGTCGCTTTTTTTGATAAAATTTTATAAGCCAATTTTTAAATAAATCACCAGTCATCCATGCCTTTTTGTTTGACTCATAATCTAATGGTAAACTCTTAACTTCTTTAAAACATCGTGGTTTAGTTGATTTCCCGATTATAAGTGGTTTAATTTTTTCGGAACCTGACATATTTGATCCTAAAAGAATTGTTATCCGTTCCTTGCTTTGTTTGCCACCTGAACAAGTTTCTTTATAGGGGAATATCAAAATAAAAGTGCGGTCGGGTAGTCATTTAAAAAACAATGCTGTCTCATCCACATTAAATACATCATCGGGAGAATATTCTTTTATGATGTTTGATAACTTTCCTAACCATTCATTACATAAAGAGTCATTTACAGAAGCACTTTCACCACATATTTTACGAAAAATTATGTTATGACGATTTTTCCAATTTCCTAACCAGCCTTGACTTGCATTAAAATTAGAATAACCAAATTGAGTTGCGAAATATTCTGCTTTTTCTTTTAGTAGTGGTCTACTTATAGGTATATTTTTATCTCTACATTGAGTAAACCATTTGAATAAACATACCTCTACATTTGGATATTCTGCTGGGTTTGATCTTTTACAGTCACCTTTATTGTTTTCAAATTTTTTTAAAAAATCCGCCTTATTTTTTAAAAATGTCGATAGCGTATTTGGAGGAATTCTTTTGCGATGTCTTGTTTTTTCCGGTTACCTTACTCCACCAATTGTATCACATGAACTTTGTCAGCTATAGTTAAATGGTTTAATTTTGGTTTTTGAGACATGTTTAAAAACATTCAAAAATACGCACGACAAACACGACAGGTAGAGTATAGACACATACTAACCAATACATACTTATTATTATTGTGTGTGCGCTAATAATCAGTTTCTATCTAATCGTTCAATATTTATTATACAATACTGAAGTAGATAAAACATAATACATAATAATGAACACAATTATCATAAAATACCCAGAATATCCAGATATAGCAGATATAAAAATATACTTCTACTAAGCTATTCATTACAATTTTATATTCGAGTTAACAAGACTTATAATACATTGAGAGTTATTATAATTTCTAAGGGAATTAAAAAAAAATCGAGTTGTCGAGTTCTTCGAGTTATCGCGACTCGACTGTATATATATAATTGATGTCACGAACGCGTGTACGGGTACGATATCTAATAAATATAGTTAAAAAAACTAAAAAACACGCTTTTAAAGCACATCGAACTAAAAAGTTAAAAATAATTTTTAAAATTAACTTAAAACAATAATGAACGAAAAATACTAGTATTATTGTGAAAAAAAGCGTCAGGCGCTCAATATACAAAAAATATGGCATAAAGCACCCACGCTTTTTTTCACAATAATACTAATATTTTTCGTTCATTATTGTTTTAAGTTAATTTTAAAAATTATTTTTAACTTTTTAGTTCGATGTGCTTTAAAAGCGTGTTTTTTAGTTTTTTTAAACTATATTTATTTTTCACTTTTTAGTTTCATGTTATGATAGTAGTTAATATCAATATCATGGTTGTAACGGGTAACGGGAAATAAGGGTTCGATTCCGGAGAGGGAGTCTAAGAAACGGCTACCACATCCAAGGAAAGCAGCAGGCGCGTAACGTGGAGGTAGTGACGAAAAATAACGATACGAGAATCATCCTCCGTAATCGGAATGAATACACTACATATCTCTTAATGAGAATAAAGTGTATTAATATATAAGTTTTAATAGTAATTAGAATATATATATATTTAAAGGGACTTAAGTACGTAAACGTATCATGCATGAGGTATAGCCGTGTTTATGTGGGCGGGCATGGCGGAGGGAACATTATACACGAGGCATATACGGCGGCAGAGGCGTCGGCTGTAGGAATATATAAATGAATATTAACATATATGTATATATAAATATTAATATTAGCGGTGGCGGTAGGAATATATAATCTTCGCATAATATCGCGGCACTTTTGCTGGCGTCGAAGACACGATGTCCGGCGTGATCCTCGGGCGTCAATAGGTTAGCAGCGTAGATGACGACGGTGCGCGAGTGCGGATCAGTTTGTTGACGATGTTATTTTGACAATGGGAAGAAGACTACGGTATAGCGGCGGGACGTCGTCGGCCGTGCGGCACTTGCTGGACTTTGCACCGCGGCGTAAAACGACGCGGGGCTGTGTCAATTACAATAAAAATTTGTTATATATATATATAATTGATGATAAGCGCGCGTCTACGAGTTGGAAAATATTGTTCTCTACGATTGGTGAGTGGGGTGGTGCGAATGCGTTACAACAGTATAGTCTCAAGGTCATACACGACGGGATACGCGACATAATAACACGTGCCGCGTGGAGTTACAAACTTACAAACGACAAACAAACAACAAACAACATACACGTGAAACTAATATAAGCGTGTTAATTAGAGATGGGATTTCTGACTCGCTGATATGAATCAGTTCACTCAAATGAGTTGACTCAATGAGTAATTTATTTTACTCATTGTAAATAATTATTATTTATTAACTACTATTGTAAAATGAAATGTAATATTGCTATCAATAATTTTTTATTCGTTATTTGTTTATATATAGGGGAATTAAATTAAATAACAATAGTTACACAAAAAGTAATTTATTTGGTTATTTGATGTTTATAAAATATTTTTCTATTAAATTGTTTAATATTTTTACTAATTATATTTAAATTTGTTAATTATTATTGAAATAAAGAGTAAATTTAAAATCTAAAAAAACTATTTATTTATTATTAACATCAACACATAGATTTATTTATGTGTTAAATTAGGTATACAAATACAATGTAGGTATTATCAATGTTTAATGTTTAGTGCATGCAGTGAAAAAAATTTATATTTATATTATATTAGATTACAGGTCTATTCTTGAATGAATATTGTTCTAAAAACTGACATTATGTATAATCTAGTCTCATTTATTTAAAATTTTACTCATTGTGTCAACGCTGTTTCCTGTGATTACAATAAATCTTGTGCACAAAATCGAAAATTGTGAAACACTTTATTTAATTTACGAAGGTATTTTATTTCATTTTAAAATGAATAAATCAAGTGTTATTTGGGATTTTTTTCAACTTGAAGCAGTTAATATTCATGTAAAGTGTGGACTTTGTCGTATAAAATTAAAAAATAATCATTCTTCGACTTCAAATTTAATTAGACATATTAAATCTAAGCATCCATTAGTAAATTTATTAAATAGACTCATGTAATAGAAGAGACGATTGATGACCCAAATATTACTCCATCAAATTTTACTTCTGTAAGTTAAATCTATATATCACAATTCGCATGATTCAGAATTTATTGATAAGACGTTTTAAATTAAATTCAATTCGTAGTAGTCCACACTGAGTCATTGAGTCACAGTACCATGGCACACTGATTCAGCTCATCCAGTTCACTCACGAACTACCCATCCCTAGTGTTAATATAAGCGTGTTAATAGAGCGACGGCTGCTAAAGGTGGCACGAGTCGTGGGGCATCGTGTATAACAAAACAACGCGGGGCCGTGTCAATCACAATAAAATATTGTTATATATATATAATTGATGGCACGCACGCGTATACGGGTACGAAAACCAAAAATAAAAAAAATTGTACAGGAAAATATTGTTGGTGGCCAGTGGTGAGCGGAGTGGGGTGAATACGTTACGACAGACTAGTCTCAAGGTCGTAGTCGACGGGATACGCGACATAATAACACGTGCCGCGTGGAGTTACAAACTCACAACAACTAAACAACAAACAACATACATATGAAACAAATATAAGCATGTTAAAATGACATTTTTACAAAAATGTTGTGATATCATTAAAATGTTGAGCTTTCACATTTTTTCATTGTTAACAATAATTATTTTAGTAACTAGTTTTGCAAGAAACATAAAAATTACATTTTTAAAGTTCTTATATAATTTCCTAATACCCAATAAAAAGTTATACAGTTAAAAGTTAATACAAACTGAAACAGATCTAACTGTCAATTCTTGTAACATTTGATACAACTAACATTTTGCTGTATTTTTTTTTTTATAATTTATACATTATTAGACTACGTTAAAATCATATATTAGCTTCGATATGTGGATAAGAAGCTATTATTTGTACTATACTGATTTATTTCGTGTCCATATACGCGAATACTCCTGTTGCTACTGGACTCATTTTGATGAAATTTAATAAGTTCAAATCATCAAACTGTATTTAACTGGGTAATATTTTTGTCGCCTTGTTTGTTAGCTAAAATATGCTTAAAAATAAAATAAATTTGTAACTAAAATAAATTCTTATTTTAGATTATTCCTTTGATGAAATTATAATAATATACAGGCTTAATATATTTTTATATTTTATAAACAATATACAAACAGCTATTTTACTATTATGGATAAACACAAATATTTATATACATTAGATCAATACCTGAAAATTACCTGTAGACATCAATTTTTATAATTAATTTTTGTGACTTAAATTTATGAATAATCAAAATTAATATTGTATAGAATTTCTTATTTCTAGTTTAATTGTAATTAGTTTTACATTTTTATACTTAATAGTTATAAGTGTACTAAATACAATGTCAAGTGTACACTCAGGTAAAGTTACTAACATAGTGTTAAAATTTGAAGAGCTAATAAAAATTGATGAAAAAAACAATATATACATACCAATTAGTCAACAAAAAAGATTGATAGAACGTACTTTTCGACCTATTCAAATAATTAGTCCAACATATATAACAGCAGACGAAACAACTTTTACTAAAGCAAATCCAGAAAACAAGGAAGTCAAAAAAAAATAAGTTTAAGGGTGAGTCAAGGGTACATTTAAGTAAATTGACCTTTGCAAAATCATTTAATGAATACGTTTTATAATTTTCCTATGACAAAACAATGATTTGTCAAATATTTCAATACAACGTTTGTTCTCTCTAACGCTGAGTTTAATCAAATATGAATTTAGCTTTACAAAATTTAATTGTGCTGATTTTGTGGAGTTTAAAAATTGTGGAGAAAAAGGATACAGGTGTCATACGAATATGACACCATAACAAAAATAATTCCATATTACAACAAAATTATTTTTCGTTAGGAGGAGATACTGAATATATTTTATGAATATAATTTGATTTATACTATAGTATACTATATAAATAATATACAGAGTATTTAGTAAGTAAGAAAACAAGTTTCTCTTGTTTAAATAATTGACCTGTTTCCTTACTTACTGAACATTCTGTATAGTTTATGTTCCAGAACAAAACTCTAGTTACACCTCTATAAGAAAATTATTGATTCAAAATTCTTGAAAAATCATGAGCTTTTGACATTCAAAACCCAGAGAACCCTTATACACTCATTTGAATGTAAAAATATCTAATGAACTAAAATGTTTATATTGGATACACTCAACCTAACAACAGTCATAGGTCAAGTGGGACATATGTTAATTAATGGGTTAATTATAAATTCATTATTCTTCTTAGAGTATATAGTACTTATTACTTTAGATAGGACAATACCAATTGTCAAGTATATAAAATATTTAAATGTTTAAATATAAGTAGAACATTAAAGGTTATGCATTTCGCTCAAAATGCATTTACATTTAACTCACTTAGCCATAATATAATTACAAACAAAAAAATGATAAAAGTTATTAATATATTTTAAGGAATAAAGAATAAAATACCAAAACGGAAAATTTTACATAATACTC